CGGAGTGTTGCGCATCGTGAGAGAGAGAGAGAGAGAGAGAGAGAGAGAGGGAGAGAGAGAGCCAGAGAGGGAGAGAGAGAGCGAGAGAGAGAGAGCGAGAGAGGGAGAGAGAGAGCCAGAGAGGGAGAGAGAGAGTGAGAGAGCGCGCGAGAGAGAGGGGGTCACATCACAGTGGAGTCAGCTGTCTTAACCGTGGCTTGTGTAGTGCAAACACATACCAGCTTCATGAGGTTTAAAATACCCGCACCTATGGAAGCCCGTTTCCGCCACTGAATAAAAAAAAAATGTAATTGCGACTTTATATCTCGCAATTCTCACGCAATTGCGAGAAAAAAAGTCAAAATTGCGAGATATAAACTCGCAACTGCGAGAAAAAAGGCAGAATTGCGAGATAAAAAGTCGCAATAACCTTTTTTTTTATTATTCAGTGGCGGAAAAGGGCTTTAATTACTACCAGTAAAGGTGACTTTATACATTTTTTTTTCAAACACATTAATCACATCTTCAAAATAGAGAGAACGACACAATCACATCTTCAAAATATAGAGAAGGTTTCTATGTAATTTAATATTATTTCCCTGCTGAAAAAAAATACAATAGACACCATCACAAAATGTGTAATGGTTTACTGGTTATAATGGGACATTGGTTTTAATGGAAACCTATGGGGTTCTACTGGTAATTTGTTGCCTTCTATTGGTGGCTTGTTAAAACCACTAAAAATGCAATATATGTCCCAAAACACACTACAGAAAACAATTTTTTAATGGTTAAAAGTTGGTGGTTTGTAATGTTTGTAATCATATTTGTAGTGGAAACCATTACAATTTCTGTGATGGTTTCTATTGTTGTTTTTTTTTCTTCCAGCAGGGTTGCGTGCATGAATTATATATATTAGCAGCACATAATACGTCAAAATAAGCATTATTTTATGAGTCAGATTTAAAACTGACAGTTTAAAACTGATTTAAAAAAATAAATGAAAAATCGGTAGCTCAAACTGAAACTCGAATATCCAACACATTGTGTAAAAAATGTAGCTATAATTCTAATAAGAATAACTAAGCATAAATGTTGATACATCTGTTTAAAACATTAAATAGAATAATAACCATATTGGCTAACCGTTTTAGTGCTTTGCGCGCGGGCTTGTAATGACACGGTAAAGCGAGAACTGTCTGACTTACTGAAAGTAGATTTTATTTTCTTTCCCCAAATGGGGTATTTATGTCCATAGTAAAGTTAGTTCAAATTGTAGCATTGTAACCATCACACCAGCCAGCAAAGTCAAGACGTTCGAGAAAGGTAGGCTAATTCTAGCTTAGCTGTGGCACAAACTACAGGCTAGAATTAGCGTAAATCTCTTATGATTGTTAGAAATAGATATGTTTTATTAGTTATAGGAAGTATTTAGCCTGTAAACTGATGTAGTAGCCAAATATCATTAACAGCAACTATGGTCATGACACACGACGGACTTGATAGTAAAGAGGCCAAGATGGGGGGAAAACACTAACGTTAAACCTTTAACAATATTACAGAAGGAGTGGTTTCACTGTATCTACTTTCGAGTAGTATGCTTGATGAATGACTACTGTACTCGCTTGCAATCAGGACACAGATAGATGGTGCTGGAGGACAAAAAGAGAGCACAGTACATGGAGGTGAGTAAAATATTATAATAATGTAGAGTAGGCCTACTCATCCAAACGTTCAGCCTTCACCAGTAATGCCAAACATATCAAACATCAAATCTCAAAACTTCCTGAAATATATCTTTTAAATAAATAAATAAAATATATATTGAAATATATATTTCGTGAAATAATGATGTTTTATTCTGTCTTCTAAAGTAATCAACTCTGCAGCTAATTACTTGACAATAAATTATAGTATAGCATATGTATGTGTACATGGTTCCACTCCTCCTATGACCTTCATTTTTTAATCCTTAATTAAATGTTTAAAATACTACAATAAATATGTTAAGGAAATAAATCTTAAATATGTGGTTGTATCTAATTCATCTATCATCATTGCACTTATGATTTTAATAGAGAAAAAAGGAAACTACAGTACAACCATTTCCTATAATCAACATTTAACACACCAATACAACATGGTACAGTTGTCCCCGGTAATTGTTTACATCTTCATAAATAAATAATAATAAAATGAAGGAATATTAAGGAAATTAAAAAAATAAGTTTCCCTCAGAAAACAGTTACCTCAGAAAGTACATTTAACTGGTGGCTACATAATATATTCCTAAATATAATATCATGTAAATATATATAGTATAATGGTTGAACAAATTGGTTTGTCTTAAGAAACCAACAACATATCATTTTTTTATGATGCATCATCTGTAGATGGCGCTACTGCAACAGGTCTAGTCAATACCCCAAAAATTTAACGTTTCTAAAAGTGAAGACAATACACATTAACAAAAATTAACAAAAGCTAAGAAATTAGAAAATGAACAACAGAAAGTGCTGTAGAAAATATAACAGCAATATTAATTATTTTAATACTAATAGTAATTATTGTCAATGGGCACACACTCTGACCCCTCCATCAGACACTGTATATCTAACTCTGTATAAAAATACACCCTCCACAGCATTTCAAGAAAAGCAGATTGATGGCATTGCCAACAAACAGCTCATTTACTAAAGCTTTCTGTCTTTAGTAGAGTAGAGAAGATACTCTCCCTCAACCGCCTTTTCCCCCTCATGTGTCTTTTAGACACCTCCTTTATTGTAGTTGCAATGACATCATCTGTAACACAGGAAACCCATTGAAACAAGAAGGACCCAGGAAATGAGGTAATGGTTCAGGAATGTCGGGAGAGAAGAGTTTCCCCCACAGCTGAAAGAGAATGGCAAACAGAGCAGCTCTGTCTGAAGCCATGCATGAGGTCAACAGTCCTTAGACAACAACAAAACATTACCCTTAACCCAGCAGAATGGATGATCAATACCTATGCAGTCTATATCTATGTACAAGTCTCTATTAACCTGATAATATATAGTTGCCATTAAAACAGAGACAAACAGAAAGTCTGCTGGGTTTCCATCACCTTGCTTTTATGCGCATTTTGAAGTATCGCATCAGAATCGAGTGATGGAAACACTGAATTTTGAATAAAAATGCCTTAATTCGCAAAAAAGTTTTTACGCTCGCTTGAGGTGGTTTTTGACTTGTGCGAAAAAGGGTTCATGCGAATAATGGGAGATGGAAATGCATTTTGTGAATAAATTCCTCCAAGCGCATCAAAAAAGTCATGTGACTTTGTGCTATGGGACGGCAAATTCTGACTAACCAGCAGACCGATCTCATTCACAGCATCTGAAATGTTGTTATGGTCATTCGGAAATGCCCGAGCAAAGTCTGTCATCAAAGTATTTCTGTATAATTGCCTCCCAGAACTGTTAAACGACTGCGTTCCCAAACAGCAGCATCCACCTCCGAAAGCAATTACCGCATTCATTGTGTTTCGTCTGCTCGTTCTGAGGTGCAAGTAATTTATTATATAGGAAAATTATTATATTCAGTAGCTTCTCCTACTTTTCTTAGTGATGTATAGTGCCAGTTTATCAGGAAGTGATGATATTGTTCTCTTTGACTCGTTGGATGGAAACGGTGCTTGTTCGCAAATGTTTTGTGCGATATTCCAATTTTGCGCATGTTAAATTCGCAACTTTGGATGGAAACCCGGATAATATGACCATTTGGCAAATGCAGTCATATAGGTTATCCAGGACCAAAAAAGTTAGATGAAAAAAAGTTGTTTGGCAATAAGAACTTAAGTAGGTTGTGAGGGTAACCTGTCGGGCCTTCAATCAATAGTTAAAATCAACATAATTGATTAGATTGAGAAAAGTGTCCATTTCATACCAAACTGGAGCCAGACCTGAATGTGAGTATAGAGTCAATCATGAGGAACTACTCCCTTGTTGAAACCAATAACCTCTGTTAAGTTACTATGTTATGAAAGGCAATATTACTTACAATATTTGATCAAAACCATTTTCAACCCTGTTCTTTGAGGCTCCCCAACACTAAACATTTTCTAACTCTTCCTAATCGAGCACACCTGAATCAACTCATCAGCACATTAGCAAAAACTGCAAGACTTGAAATGGATGGGTCAGATAAGGTAGACGTCCAAAATGTATACTGTTGGGGAACAGGGTTGGGAAACACTGACCTAAAACAATGCCTAATTAGATATTTGTCTGTTGTTAAACTAATTAACTAATAACCCACATTAGCTCAAAACAAAAGTCATTTCAAATGTGTAGCAGATTCTTACATTTTGATGAAGGATTAAATCAACATTTTCTCTTTCACAATCATTTACAATATGACCAAGAACAAAGTAAATATAGTTTTCGTGTTGACTAAGTTGTCAGAATTCTACAGAAAGTAATTAATAAAATACTATCAATCCACAAATATGTGTGTGTAGATTTTAACTGTTTAAATATGTTTGAGGAAGAGACATTATAGGTAAGAGTTTATGCTACAATGAAACCCAAAAACTTTCAGGAAGGTGTTTGCATATTGAAGACTCAAAATGACTGCATTCTGAATGGATGAGTACACATGAAGTCCTATTAAAAGGCTTATGGGATATATTGGTAAAATGCAGGGTCGGCTTTTGGATATTTTAGTGTTTCAATAATAGTTTGGGATAGAGGATTGATATTGTATTATTAGTGCACATGCTGGGTTTAATGGTGCTCAGACACTCAATGATGTGTCTCCAGTTCCACCACAGTCCAGTCGCCCTGTGGGGAACTGGCCTGGCTGCTGGAGGAGTAACTACTGACAGAGGCCACTGTTGCGGTGGAGCAGTCGAAGTGGGACATGATGTGTGGCCACAGGCTGCTCTCTAGGGGGCTGAGGATGCCCCCTCCCTGCCCAGGTAGGTACAGGAGCGGAGGACAGCCATCCTCCCCGGCCAGAAGCAGAGCCTGGTTAATCAGCTGCTGGACCATGTCCAGTTTTGTGTTCCAGTCTAGCTCCTGCGGAGGCAGTCGGCGAAGGTTTCCGTTGGCCATTCTAAGCGGGAGGTCTGTTGGGATTGAATGGCCTATCTGGTTGGGGGAACCTTGGTTGCCGGTGGATTGGTTCTCTGCATCCTCCTCTTCCTCCTCGCTGGTCTCCATGGCCTCATAGATGGTGCAGAGTCCAGATGAGGGTGACAGGAGACATGGTTGCCCTTTCACCTGTGACTGCTGTTTGAGTCTCTGTTGCTGCTCCATCTCAAGCTGCCGTTGCAGGAGCTGTCGGCGGAGTCGGTGTTCCTGCTTCTGCTGTTGCAGTTGCAACTGAAGCAGCTCTCGACGTTGCCTCTCCAGTGCCCTTTGCTGCTCCTTCCGCTGCCTTTCTTCCTCGAGACACAGCCGTTGCAGCCGTTCCTGTTCCTGGCGTTGCCGAATGTGCCGCAGCTGCATCAATGGAGGCAGTGGGACCCTCGGAGGAGCATCAACATGTTGAACATTGATACGAGGCAGTGGCTGCTGTAGCTGCCTGTGGGTGTTCGGCAGGGCGGCAAGGTAGTTATTGTCATTCAGCTCTTGAGTTAGCCTTGGATAGTTACCATTCTCTTGTTGGCTCAGTGAAAGCTGGTGCTCACCAGTCTGTATAGTGTTCCCAGCTTTCCCTGTGGACAGTCAAGAGCACTTGCAATATGTGTTTACTGACAGAGGCATTCGTTATGAAGAAGGGTGTAACCGAACAGGAACAGAGGAAAAGCACAGACAGAAAGAGGAACATGCAGACAATAACAGAAAACATAAACCAAAGAACAAATTAGACAAAACTCTTAATGAATTCAGAAATCGGGTTTTCCCACACATCTTTCCTGTAAAAACACGTCGGGGTATTTTTCAAAACTAGCAAACCGTTGTGTAAGGAATATTCTGGGTTTAATAGATGTTAAGCTCCATCTACTGCATCTGTGGTGTGCTGTTGATTATGAAAAAAAATCTACTGGTATTTAAAAACAAAAAAGTATATTGGACAAGCAAGAGAAGCTGTGGACAGAGCTTGTATTTAACTTAGAATATTCCTTTCAAGTAATATTCAGTCTACAATGTTAAAACTGAAAATGTCACCAGTGAGATTCACCAGAATAGTTCAGCACTTTTGACTGAAAATATTTTAACTGTGTAAAACAAAATCAGCAAATCTTTCAGAGTTTGTGTGTTGTTCGAGGCCCCACAGGTATGTCATCCAATTAATGAGATGTCATATTTGAACCAATCCAAGAATGTGAGTGGGTTGGAGAGGGCCTGATTCATTGGAGCAGTAACTGGGCTAAAAATAAAAGCATGTAACTGACAACCTAACTAGTCTTCTACCACGCTACAATCCATCACGCTCCCTAAGGTCGCAAAACTCTGGACTTTTGGTAGTACCTAGGATAGCAAAGTCCACTAAAGGAGGTAGAGCTTTTTCGCATTTGGCTCCCAAACTCTGGAATAGCCTTCCTGATAACGTTCGGGGTTCAGACACACTCTCTCTGTTTAAATCTAGAGTTGCTTTGACACAATCAGTATTGTTAAAAGCGCTATATAAATAAAGGTGACTTGACACTTTTTTACTGCACAAATACATGAAATGCATTTATAGACTACCTGGATAGTGTTTAAATAAAAAATGTAATTTGATAATATATATATATATATATATATATATATATATATAAAGCCAAATATAGTAATAGAATAAATAAAACAATCCAAATGTTATGGGAATTAAATAACGCTTGATTTCCATTAATAAATGTTTTTAAAGGGTAAATGATACATAAATACATACATCCAAAAAAGTATTAATGACCTAAACTTGCAAATTTAATTCAAATAAGGGATTTGTTAGAATTTGAAGAGAACAATAAATAATTTTTCTTAATGTACCTCATCTGCCACATATGATTTTACATAAATTAGAGTTCAGACAAATGACCTGAAAGAGATAGGTTTCAAAGCAGAGACAAGGAGATAAACTGATAGACATTCTTTATATCAAGGATAAGTTGTACTTCGGCTAACCTCCACCTCCAGATATTTTTGATGTAAAATGACTATTTTTGATGGCTGGTGGGTGAAAAAAAAGAAGGAACTGAAAATGCGATGAGATTCCATACTGAGAAGAGGAAAAACAAAAAAAAAGATTCCCTGAAACACCCGTATAAAACCAAATTAACATTCAGGGAGGATTTGGAATTTTTGTGTTGCGTTTGTTTATGCTTTAATGTATATTGGGGAAAACAGGCATTTCTTGAAACCCATTAACCAATTCCTTAAGATACCATGAAAACTTGTTGTGCTGGGCTTTCAGGGTGGGGTCCTGTTTTTGAGTTTAGGGGGCATGACATGCTTTAGTAGAGGGGGATCATAGCCCATGAGCACTGGCTGTCATTTAATCAAAAATACATCTTGGAATAAACACCATTTCAGCAGATATCCATTTCCTGTTCAAAATCAAATACCATAGGAACACTCAGATGAAAATAGACCATCATGCCACTCAAAATAACAAAACAAACAGGAACAGACAGCCTTGCAATTATGTTTAATGGAATTTTGGGGAAAACCTTTTAGTTATTGTGAATCATTAATGTCCAAACATCCCTGGATTATGTCTGGATTCATAGCAAGATTATAACAATTTCTTAATTAGTTGCACATGCACTTCCAATTCTTGTAGAAATGTCCCGGTACTCACAGTAAACTGACCTGCGAGCATCATTTTAAGATTTACAAATGCAGGAAAACACTTCAATTTCCATAAACAGAAATAGTTAGTCTGTTCTGAAATACAAATGTTTAACAACTGTAAATGAAAGAATCCATGTCAATCTGAGCCCAGTACTTTAAAACACTTAAGTTACGTGCCAGTGAGAATCTATGTTATCCTTCACAAAAATGTGCAGCAGTAGCTCAAAACTAATAAAAGACAACCAAAAATGAAGTATGACCTGCAATCTAACACTCATTCACCTCCCTATGTCAAACACTGTGAGCGTGAAAAGCTTCTGAAGAATATCTAACCTGTATTTAATGCTAAAACAATTAGTGCTGGAGCACATGTTAAAAGAGAAAGCTGAAATAAGTTTCAAAAGACAGTAAAGCTACTTTTACAGTGCAGGAAAACTGATGTGTGTACAAACATTAAGGTAAGACAGGGATCTTAACAAATCAAATAAAAACAAGAAGAAAAAAAAACAAAGTATAAAAAATTGACATTTGATTGGTAAAAACAGTAGGATAAATACAAAGGTAGTTGGAGTCCACCAAGTGTGTTTATTTTTATTTTTATTTTTTTTTTGCATTTTTGTCCTTTCATTAAAGGACATCAACTTAACTTAGTCTAACATTGCAGGTTCAGGGGTGCCATGAAATGCAGTGTTATTTAAAAAGTACATTCTAATAGAAAATGAGAATAGCTACTGTACATACAGAAGTTTAAGCCATACAATCATAACCATCACCGTGGTAATAGAAGAACAGAGAGCAGCTCAGACAAAGCTATAATCCCTCACCTGATGGCTCCCCTATTCTTTCTATCACATATTTCTATTCATTTCAACCCCACATTTGGAAGAAATGAAGGACACAGGGTAGGAGTGTGGGGTAGACAAGGTGCATTCCAAAAGAGGGACTTTATACGTTACCTGCCAGAAAGTTATCAGTCTTATCACATATAGCAGAGTAGTACGGTGGCTGGCCGTCAGAATCGTCCCCATGTTGGGGTGAGAGGTGCATGGGGGACTCCGGATCCATTTCCTCCATAGCGCCTGGGTCTGTCTTACTGCACAGCATGTAGTGCTCGTCAAATCCAGCATCCCTCTCTGTGGGCTCGCTGATAGGCAGCAAATCCACTGGACAGCCCAACAAGTCATCACTGTAGGCGGTAGCTGCTGGCAGGGTGAGCTCCTTGATGAAAGAGGGATCCTTGGCCTCTTCCGGAAGCTGCTCTTCATTTTCCAGGCTAAAGATGCCTGGACTCTTTCCACAGCTCTCAGCCATAGAGTGGGCATTGGAGATGGACGTGGAACAGTCAAAACCATAGGAGGCCACAGAGTTGGCTGACTGAGGCGTATCACCATCTTCCTCTCCAATGCGTTCAGGAGCCTCCTCATCTTCCTCCAGGGCAGCGAGGTTGTGAGGATCTGTGGCGTTGTCATCAACCGCAACATCAGGATCATTGATTTGCATCTCACCCTCTGTATCACTGGCCTCATCACCAGAGGTTGATGGTGATGATGGTACAGAGGCTGGTGCTGTTGCGGCATCACCCAGTATTTCATCGGCCGGCAGCGTTTCTGCCTCTTCCTCCTCCCCATCACCTCGCTCAAGGTGAATACCTAGGTCCTGCTCTATGTCTGTTTGCATGGCAGGGACTGGCGTCTGCTGCTTGTCTGATCGGGATTCTACACCTGAGCTGCTGTCATAATCTCGAAGCTCTTCAGGTGTGCTGGTCTCACTGCTGCTATGGGCAGCCAGGGCTGTTCCACTGAGGGTGCTGGACTGGGACATTCCAATGGCAGGAGGAGCCAAGACACCTGACTCCACTGGGACTGAGCTCCCGGTCTCCTCTTGGAGGTCAGGCTGAGGTTCTGAGGCCTGAATCAGGGGTGGACTCATATCCAGAAAAGCCTCAGCTGGGGATTTGGGGGGTGTATCTGGTTCAGCTGAGAATGTGGTGGTTGTGTCTGGATCGACTGGGAATTTGGTGAGTGTGTCTGGATCTTGAACTCTTGAAGCTGACAGGTTTGATTCAGACAGGACGGAAGAAGGCTGGGCCCAGGAATCAGAGAATGGATTGGAATTACTCCATGCTGCTGTAAAAGGCATAGATGTTGCTGGAGCAGTGTGACCCATGCTGTTGAGATCTAGATGACTCTCCTCTCTGTAATCATCATCATCTTTGTTACCATCATTTCTACTAACCCCAAGTGCACTCTCATCCATGCCCCTGCGGACCATCTCTACATCTTCATTCTCTTCCTCCATGTCTTTCTGTTGTTTGTGATGTTCATCATCATGCTCTAATACTAGATCCATGTCTTCCTTCAGATGCTCTTCTTCTTCATCCTCTTCCTCATCTTCACTACCAAATGACTGGATTCCAGGAGGCCCTGTGAATGGCTGTTCCCTGTCTGCCTCGATCATGATGAAGTCACCGGTCTCTTTCGCACTGCAGCTGTCTTCAGCATTAAAAGGAGATGTCACTTCTGAGTCATGTTTGTTACTCCTGTACATGTCATCTGACTGCATCATACCCCAATCAGAGCTGGCAAAATCTGCCATCCCCTTTTTAAGGTCAACTTCTTTCTCTGTTTTGGGCACTGATTCCTTTATGCCAATCTCTTTTACCTCTTCCTCCTCCTCATCTTCCTCTTTCTCTTCCTCCTCCTCCTCCTCCTCCTCATCATTGTCTTCATTAATCTCTTCTTCTGCTTTCTCCACCGTCTCTTCTCGTTCTTGCAAGGGGGAGGCAGGAGCTGCATTTTTTATGTGATCCCCACCAGCGGAGCCCATCAGATCAAAGTCTTCGATCACATTCTCAGCTGCAGAGGGCATCTGTATGTCATCCTGATCTTTTTCATCATCCTGCTCACTTTCTTCATCGTGCTGTCTTTCCTCATCCTGCTCCTCATTCTCTGTGGTCACAGAACTGGGGTACAGTGAAGAGCTCTGTGCCCATGGTTCAGCTGGACCCTGCAAGCCCAGGAAGGGAGCTGAGCTTGGGAGTTCGACTGGCATGGATGGTGGGCCAGTGGGAGAGGATGGTGGGGACAGTACTGTGGTTCCCAGGGGAGACACAGCAGGCACTGGCTCCTCCAGACTGACCAAGTCTACTTCAGCAGCCAGCTGAGACATGGCATTGTCATATTTATAAGTGTCCATGCTCTGGGGGACGTCCTGGGGATAGACAAGCTCCACCTCTTCAGAAGCAGGAGAAATAACTGGTGTAACGGTGTCTTCAGGATCCTCTTCAAAGGCTGGAGAAATGACTGGTGAAGTGTTTTCTACAGGTGCCTCATAAGAGGTAGGGGGATTGACAGATGCAGATGTTTCTTCAGGTATTTCATCAGAGGCAGGAGGAATGACAGGTGAAATGGATTCTTCGGGTGCCTCGTAAGAGGCAGAGGGAATGACAGCTGTAGTTACATCTTCAGGTGTTTCTTCAAAAGCAGCAGAAATTACAGGTGAAACAGTTTCTTCTCGTGCCTCATAAGAGGTAGGAGTTATGACAGATGTAGTTACGTCTTCAGGTGTTTCTTCAGAAGGAATGACAGGTGAAACCGTTTCTTCTCGTGCCTCATAAGAGGTAGGAGGAATGACAGGTGTAGTTACTACTTTGGGTGATTCTTCTGAAGAAATTACAGGTGAAACAGTTTCCTCTTGTACCTTATCAGAGGTTGGGGGAATGACAGACATAGTTGTGTCTTCAGGTGTTTCTTCAGGTCTGAAAGGTGTAACAGAGTCTTCAGGTGTTTCCTCAGCGACATGAGGCATGACAGGTGTAACTTTGTCTTCAGGTGCTTCCATAGTGGTAGGGGCAGTGACATGTGTGGCCATTTCTTTAGAATCCTCTTTAGAGTCCTCAGAGGAAGCAGGAATTAGAGTTGTAAATGAGTCTTCTAATTTCATGTCAGAGGCAGCAGGATTGACCTGGGTACACAAGTCCTCAGGTGCCTCTTCAGTGGCAGCAGGAACAAAAGCTGTAGCTGAGTCTTCAGGTGCTACCTCAGAGGTCACCACAGAAACAACAGCAGCAGCTGCAGTAGTGGCTGCAACCACAGCAGGTACCACATCCTTTTTCTCAGCCTCTGTGGCTGCTGCGTCTACAGGCTGGGAGGCTTTTGGGCCACCCTTCAATGGCATTGGAGTGCTACTGCCAACTGACTTCTTTGGGCTGCTTGTCTTAGTGCTGGGCTTGCTGCCTGTGGTCTTGGGGCTTGCGCTAGCCTCCTTGGAAGGAGTTGCTTTGCTCTCCTTGGGTTTACTAGTCTTAACGTCTGCCGCCTTGCTGGGGGTGGTGATTTTTTTTGAGGCTGATTCTGCCTTGACAGTGGAGGCTGACTTAGGAGTGTTAGACTTGGTGGTCTTGGTTGGTGCTGGCCGGGTAAGCGGAGAAGAAGTGGGCTTCTTGGCTGCTGGAGTAGAAGGCTGCTTACTGACATCTAATGAAAAGAGAACATATAATTTCAACTCCGTATCACAGCTTCAAATAGAAATGAATCTAAGCATTATTAAGCAACTAAATACTGTAAATTTAATTTAAGTATTTTGTGAAAATACAGCACTATAATGGAAGATTTAAAGATTTACCATATGTAAAATACCAGTATTCTCATATTACAACAATATTACTGTTACAATGGTTACAAGTGAACTACATGCATGCATTTATTGAATTCCATGAGGTGCCCCACCTTTCTTGACAGGTGTTGTGGTCTTAGGAGTGGGAGTGCGGCCAGCAGATGGCGCTGTGGTTTTAGCAGGAGAAGGTTTAGCAGTAGTAGATGGTGTCTTGGGTGTCGCAGTAGTTGGCCTGGATGCGGCTGTAGATGTCTTGCTGGCAGTTGTCGGTGTCCCAGGCTTAGGGGCAGCAGGGGAAGAACGGGCAGCAGGAGCAGAGCCAGCAGACCTACACATAGCAGATGTGACAAGAAATAGAGTAATCATTACAGAGGTGAGTCATTAGGGCATTTTTAGGTCTGACTGCTCCTAGCTTGC